GTTCTCCTGGATAGGAAGATGGTTTTGCCAATTTTTCCTAACCAAGTTAGAGAAATCGGGGTGGAATAGCCACGCAGCTAAAAAGCGAAAGGGCTTGGGTCTTTATTGTGAGAGTGACGGGTGTAAGGGATAATCAAGATAGGTCTATCTATGATCATATTGTACTTTTAGAAGGTGGTGAATGATGGCCTCCGAGAAGTAGTTGAACTATCTCTAGTTATAGATAGCTCTATCAAGCCGTTGAAAAAGGGTCCCACGTCACCATATAAAGTTTGGCCCTACATAATCAAGTTGCTGCAAAGAATTAACATCAATAAACTGGTTAAAAAGAGCGCAGCCTTTAGACCGTTTAGTCGCCCCCCCTCTTCGGTCGTCCGACTCCAGGATGGCATTGAAATCCCCAACAAGGAGCCAAAGGCAATCCAAGTTATGCCTGATAGTGGTGAGCTCCTCCTAAAGGTCTTTTCATTTATGGGGGTTTGGGCTCCCATAGACAATAGAGAGGGAAAAATCTTCCCAACTATCCTTCCTACTTATCTTGGAATGGATAAACTAACGATGGTTGTAATCAACAGTAACCTGGATAGACTCTCTCCACATCATCCAAATGCCCCTCGAAAACCCAACTACCTCAATTCTATGAAAGTAGTCGAAGCCTAGGTTCTTTATCACAACTAAGGCAGGGTTGTGGATATTGACAAATGACTTTAGGGCGCATCGGAGACCAGCTTTTACAGTGCCCTGACAATTCCATACAAGAAATGAGAAATTCATAGGGTAGGGGTAAGGGAAAGAGGAACTGATACTCAGGAGAGGGACTATGCTTACTCCTTCTGAAGAACATCGATAACGCTCGAAACGAGGTTTATATCCTTATTGACAAGCTCTTGAATTTTGGACAAAAGAGGGTTGATTGTAGTAGAATCAGTGGACGTAGTTGCCTCGTCCCCTTTCTTATCCTTACCTTATTTTTTGAAAGTCTTATTAATTTTTACGCCTTTATTGATACCAAATCTATCAAGAGGTTTGACTGCCGGCCTGATGCGATCTCTCAAAGAGATCGTTGGTGGCATGGAGCTATGGGGGGAGGACCGATTGAGTTTGTGGTCTTGGTCCACCTTATCTTTAATTATTATAATGGTTTTCTTAGAAGGTTCCAGTGTAGTAGTGCCCTGACTTATTACAAACTTCTCATTATTAGTCATTCTAGCACCATGGGGGCTTATGTGTATC